TAGGGTTAAAATACATTTTTAATACGCATTAAATACATAACAAACTATTGGTTGGGTTCTATTCCAAACTGTAATGATCTTAAAAAATCAGTCCTGGCTCACTAATGACATATATTGATTTTCAAATCTAGCAGATATGAAGCAGTGTTAAGGCTCATTTTAAGTTGTCTTTCAGAACAGACATCTCCTTCAGGAGTTGGTTGAGTCCAAAAATAGAGCTAAAAATATTGCCAGTATCAAAAGTAAATCAGGAAGTGATAATGTTGCTCCACAACTGCTGAATGTTAAAAAAAAGCAGATGCTGGCTAACAGGTTATCCGTATCAACTTAAAAAGTGATGCTATGTCAGCGCTGTGTCCACACTTTATTTCTGCTGCCCTCAAGTGGCCACAGAAAATTAGTTACTGCAGATTGAGGAGCAGCATTACTTATATAAGTTGTACATGCAACTGTTTCCTAAATTAAAATTCAAGAGAAACTGATTTAGCTTCAAAGTAAATTTGCAATTGCAACAAATATCCAAGGATGATGAGGATGAATCACAACAAAAAGGTCATGTTTACAGCACCCAAAAATATCCAGGAAAGTGCATTTTTCACAGAATCACTTCTTATTAATCAGTAGTGATGAAATGCAGTTTGTTAGATTAATACATTGTCTGGTGAACTGTCTGTGCAGAGAGTGTCTGTAGCAGCACATGTTCATACATGAGTACTATGTCCTAGAAAACAGCTTTTCAAAGTGCTTAATGATTTTGCTATAAAAATGTGGCATAATTTTAAGATATTCTAATTTATAGGCTTTTCAATTTACTCACGAGATATATATATAAATGCTGAATGCAGTAACATACTGCACAATGTTTGTATTTGGCTTTATGTCAGAATTGATTGTCATACTTGTCAAAAATGCGGAAGCATTCTGAAAACTCTTTCCAGCCTGGTCCTCTTTTAGCTGTTGCACCATCATGACCAAGAACTCCTCGAAGTCGATGGTACCGCTGCCTGAGGAGATGTACAGCGAATAGGTGAGAGGGGAGAAAGTGGAAGAAATCCTATCTCCCTCTCATTAATGTATTAGCATTCTAGGAAGTAGTTTGAAATGAAGCAATCGAAATATAAATCATGACTCGACAGCTGACACGTTATTGTCTAGTGATTAGTTACAGTACAACAGTTAGTTAATGATCTTTAACATTTGTCTCTCACAAGTCCACTGACCTTATCGGAGTGTAATATTAAATTACTGGGGGGTAAATTTTTGAACATTCAGTGGTCTCACCATCCTCATCGACCTCCTCAATGATGGCATCCAATTCTTCCCTCGAGGGGTTTTGCCCCAGCATCCTCATCACGGTACCCAACTCCTTGGTGCTGATGTCACCGCCACCATCAGTGTCGAACATGTCGAAGGCAGCCTTGAATTCTGGGCAAGACAAAGAAAAAGTTTAAATTCACACTGTCAAAAACTGGCAGAACAAAAATTACAGAGAACGACATGTCTGGAACTTATTCTCAAATGTTTTATTTTAGAAGGCTTTGGAAATGCTCAGACTATCTCCTTTACCATGGTCTGACATATAATTCATGTCCTGAACAAAATTAGCCAATTAGCAAAATATCAAAGAGCAAAAGCAGAACTGACCTGCAATCATCTCCTCAGTCAGGAAGGAGCGGGCGTCGGCTTGTGCGTCAGTGGGCTTAAGAGTAAAGAGTGAAAAAAGGTGAACAAATGGGCAGTGGTGGGAGAAAGAAAGCACAGGTGAACAGAGAGAGAAATTAACAACACAATCACTCACGTGTTCAGTGACATTGTTAAGCAACTGGAGGTGAAAACTGTCGGCTGTATTCACCTCCAGGTGCTTAACAATGTCACTGAACACGTGAGTGTGTTATTAGAAGAGCAGGTTGTAAAGAGTGATTATGGCAAAACACACACACCTGGAGGTTGAGCAGTAGCGCCACCTAGGCTGTCATAAAAATGACATCATTTTTCATGTACTATATTTACCAGGAGTCTGCCCATTTATAAGTCTGTTTCAGCAGCTGGTTTGACTTAAAATCTTTTTTTTTAAAACTTGCCTGGAAAGTATGAAAAGTCAAAAATCCTACCAGATACTAATATAGAGTAAAGTATGCATTAGTTGTGGAATTTATATACTAAAACATTTAATATTCTTGTGGATTAGAACATGCAAAACCACTGGTATGATTGCTCCTTCGTAGAGCTAAGCCCTGTTTCTCAGAGACAGAACTGTCATTGAGACAGTGACAGCCAAGACATGTAAATTGCCTTATATCAGGTAGAAGACATATTTAGTTCTCTGCAAGCTGTTCATGATGGTGGTTCTTAATGGCCAATGCCAGTCCAAAAAGCATGTTATTTGACAGAGTTAGTTTAAAATATCTACAGGAAGAGAACAGTTAAAGCCAGTAAAAGATTTGACAGAACCCCATTAACACCGTAACATATAGAAGGCTGCACAAACCCAGTGATTAATTCATTTTAAAGCTATTTTTAAGATAAGACTTGGGAAAGGGACAGGATTCAAGAGGGTCTTTCTCAAGGTGAATGTCCTAATTTAGGATCCTGAGGAAAGGCTGCATGTCTTCTCACTTTACTCAGCTGTGTGCTTTCTATCTTTAGTATCACACCCCCCCAATCTAAATATCAGTCATTCTGAGTTTAGTTACAAAGTGATGGAACACAAAAGCAGAGTGCAACCAAATCAGTCTGGAAGCAAATAGCAAAAAGCCGTTCCAGACACTGAATATGGAAAAAGAAGCTTACAACAACTCAGCAATATTATCGTCTACAGTAAGGATAATAGAAAAAGCGACATAAACAGCTAAGGCGTACGCCCCAAATGGCATTTTCAATAATTTCAAGTATTCCAAGAGATAAAACATCACTTAAATAGAGATCCAGCTGTGCTGCAGAGGAGGACTTTCTAGGTGAACAGAAAAAGCTGCTTCAGATAATAAACTCCATCTTCTGCCATCTGCCTTTTATCCTCATCAGTTGAAAACCAAAACAAATCCTCAAAGATTGTCCCTTTTACTTCCAGTTTTCTGTTTCTTACCATGTTGGCAGGCTGTGCTGAACAACAGACACCAATAAGAATGACAGACTACAGGGAAGTCTTCCTTCTAGACAGTTCAGAAAACACTGTGGCTTTACCCCCCTTCATAAGTACCCTCTCATCCGACTCCACCTTTACTAAAAGTGATCAGGATTGGGTAAGAGATACCCTCCTGAAACAAGAGCCAGCCAATCAAATCCGACTTTAGTTTGTGCGCCGTTACAGTCTCATGATGGACATTCCCTTGTGGGGCACACTTCCCATCCCCCATACTTAGATAACAGACAAGCTCAGTGACATTTATTGAAAAGAGAGAGAACACAGTGCAGGCATCAGGCAGCTGGAGGCTATTTTGCCAGAGGATCAACTGGAAATCTAAGTGCACATGAACACATGATTACACACTGTACACGCACATCACACACACAAACATACACACACAGATTAACACCACCCTGCATGCATAGATTCATCACCCCTTTCTCAGTGTGTGTTAACCCATGTAGCAGTTTGTCTCCCTGTCTGCACTGCCACTGACATCTGTAACTTAAGAGCTGTACAGACTTGAGATCTGACACAGCTGTACTCTATCTTTAAACATTTTAGCTGTTGGTTTCTCACTCCACCAGCAAATAACAAAATAACAAAAAACAAAACATGTCATAAAGCCACGAACAGACAACTCATAATTAGTACATCAGTCAATTCCAAGGCTTAAAAGGTAGCCAACATGAAACCAAAACTTCCAGTAAGTCAAAAACCTGATGCAAAATCCCAGTGACACATCCCCGCAAAAAAGATCCAGTAAAATAAATGGTTTATTTAAATGGGGTGTTGCTTTTATTACCCAGATAAACTGAATTATAATCACTAGCAATTTGTGAAAAACCAGATGTCAAACTTGATCATCTTTTTACTTAAATGGTTTTTGTATGCGAGTTACCCAAAACATATTATATCTTTGGATAAAACCTAATGCTTGCATTTTTTTTAATTTTATTTTTATTTTTTGTGAATACCATGTCCAGAATAGGCTTTCAGCAGTATTTGATAATTATTTGAAAGATCTGGCCATTAGATATCACAAGGTTCAGCTTAAAAAGTACAGGACTGCAAACACAATGTTACACAAATTTCAGTTGCAATTAAAGCCATTAGAGAGTTGGTGTTAACAGATCTGGATATGAAAACTGTTTGTGTACAACACTGTACATTTGGTAACTGTTCAAAATTAATTGCATTTTTAAAGTGGCAATCAAAAAAATCACTACACATAAACCACTGGACCAACCTTCCTATAAAATACATCACACTAGAGAAAATGGCATCCACTCACACCCACTTTTGAACGAACCTTCATATTGTTTAGCTCTTCTCTGTTTCCAGTAGCAGTGGGCTCTGGAGTGACTGAAAACATAGCTAATCATATCCAATCAGCTCTTCTCATCCACGTTCAAGGCAGCAAACAGTTCAAGCTGCTTTCTGGAGGAAAGTCTGTTGATCCAGGAGGAAAACATAACGTGGCCTACATGTTCACGACATCTCTAGTATTTTACCAAGGGCGGACTTTGTCATAGTCAGCCATTCTATAAATGATCTGCGTGGAACACAATAAAGATGTAGATGAAAAGGAAGTGTCCACTGTGCCAGCCATGCACATTATTACACGGTGTGTCAAAAAAATAAATAAATAAAAACTGGTGAGTGCAGTTGCAACACACATTCTTATGCTAAAAATGAAATAAAATAAACAACTAAATACAAAAACAAATACAATAAAATAAACAAAAATAAACAGCAAATAATTTAAAATAAACAACAAATGACATAAAATAAACAAATACTATAAAATAAACTACTGAAAAAAAAACCCCAAAATAAAATAAATAAACAACAAATAAAAAAATAAACAAAAATGTAATGAAATAAACAACAAATAAAATAAATTAACAAGAAATAAAATAAAATAAACAATAGGTAAAATAAAATAAACACATAAAATAAACAACCAAAATAAAATGAAATGAAATAAAAATGAAATAAAGTAAACATAGTAACAATGAAATAGAGTAAAATAAAAACGTTACTGATATAAATAACATTTTAATAAATAAAATAAAATAGCAACAAATATTTAAACAAATGTATAAACAATAACATTAATAAAAAATAT